AACTCCCATGCAAGTTTCTGGATGTCTTTGATGGTCTCTGGACCTGGTGCTGCTATTGTGCATGTGTACCAGGCCTTTGACAGAACAAGTGAATTAAAGAGTATGGCCCTTTCAGTTTGGGTTGATAGTTGTAATTTGTTAATATTCTTCAATCCTTCACTTCGAAACAGCTGGCATTTAATAGTATGTAATATGCTTGTATATAGTTGGGTAGAGGCAATTGCAGAATCTGTTCTTAGTGTTAGATCTTTTCACATTTCAGTTTGGGTTGATAGTTGTAATTTGTACTATTCTGTTGATATATTTCTAATATTCTTCAATCCTTCACTTTGAAACAGCTGGCATTGAATAGTACGTAATATACTTGTATATAGTTGGGTAGAGGCAATTGCAGAATATGGTTTCAGTTTGGGTTGATGACAGTTGTAATTTGTAATATATAGGTAATGTATGTATGTGAATACTTAGAATATGGCCAGGTGAGTATGCAACATATTGATGGCAGATGTCAAATTCTGCAAATAAACATCAAATGGTCTCTACTGTATCAACAATATTAATATTTCAATTGCTAATTGATCTTTTTCTTTCATCATAAAACATGCTGTCAGAAATTATTGCTGCAATACCACACACTTAATGATAAACTAGTGATCCAGTAATAATAAGTGAATAATTTATTGTAATTAGCTTCTATACATAGCACAAATTTCTACTAAAATTTTACTTGATAGCCTTATTTAGAGCTTTGCCCTTTCTCCAGCCCAGAAAAAACACAAGCAGACAGAAAAAACACACACAGAAAAAACATATAAAATGCGTTTTGTGTAATTTTTTATATACATTTTTTTTCTATAATTTCTCGTTTTTTTTTTGTTTTTTTGTTTCACGTGTTTTTTCCCCAGGGTCTGGCTTGCCTACCAGGTCCGAAAATATGACTGTGCTAATATTTACTAATACTAATCTATAATGGTAATGCTTCAAAGGAATAAGGCAGATAGAACTTTCAGTGATTATGATGATGAGGGTTATTGGTTGTTATACTCATCCATTCAAAGCATTCTGCCACCCTACCAGCTATTTTTTGCTTGTTTACAGGGTTCCTCTAGATCATCCCACACATCACTCAACTTCGCTGCTGCATCATAAACATAACCCTATATAATGTTCAATGTAAAAAATAAGCAAAACAATATAATAACATTATGTGAACATTTATAATTCAAAACAAAAGTTAAAGATTTCTATTTACCCTAATAGTTAAGGCGTTTTTCACGAAATCCCAAATGCCATCACTCCCACATGGTTCCAGAGGAATGTCAAAGTTTAGGAGGGGGAAATCTTTAAGAACCACCCCCAGAAAACTATCAAGTTCTGCAAATTTTATGGTCGTATCTATTACAATATTGTAGCAAAGAGATAATAATTAGTATGGCATCATATTAATATTGATGTGGCAAGAGATTTTCATCACTTACTTGCAACTTGCAACATAAAGATGGGCATATGGATAGCTCCTTATGAGTGTGATGCGCCGCAATCGATGACGTATTCTCTCCTTATTTCTGCGCTTCTCCAGCGATGCCGCAGTCCAAATCAA